TAGGCAGTAAAATGATGTGAACTTATTATTTGGCGGGCTCATGTCGTAAACTGCATTTTCCAGTTGATTGATTTGCGTATTGTTAAACATACAGCTTTGCGCTTGCCATTATGCCTAAAAATTTTAAGCAGCAACAGTTCATAAAAGCGAGTGTCTTGGCCGAGCGTGATCTTATCGGTGAGCACATTGATGGATGCTTTGAAAAGGTGCGCTACATCCAGGAACAGATTGTTGAACTGCAGAAAACCATTGCTAGCGTCGACAATAAAAATGCAGAGGTTAGTTGTTTTTTTATCAACGTATCTATGAAATTTGGACAACAGCAAGAAATTGCTAATGTGCTGGATGAAATAGCCACACGAGTTGCGGAGAAAAAGTAACGCATATGTCAATTCTGTCGAAAGACGGGGATAGAACATAAAAGAATGAACACCTGTACAAAAGCTGAATCGCTGCTGATCAGTCATCCAGGCAACATTTCGTCAAAATATGAAAGCACTGGTGGTAAGGTACTAATTTCTTTTTTATTTGTTTTTATTAGACGACTGCAGTGTTTGCGGGAAATCTTAGCCGTTATTGCACAGAAATCTTCCGACAGCCAGCTTATTTTTTATATTTCAAAGTATTTTTAGAATTTCCAAAGTAGCTTGGTGTTTATTGTGTTTACTTGATTTATCCATTTCAACAGTTAACATTTTCTCGTTGTTCCTTGTAGCTTCACATGCGATTTAAAACTTAATTTTTCTCTCTGCGACTATTTTTCTTTTTTTTTTTTGTTTTCATGAAATTTTACAATGCAGCTAATTCTGCAAGATGGCATTTTTTGACTCAGGTCCAGATAAATGAACTCTTGTCTTCCTGAGTTAGGGCGCATTGGTTATTGTTTTTTCTTTTTTTTTCAGTCAACATGTGAGAAATAGAACTTGGTGATGTTTAACCGTTATTCCTGCATTGTTACTGCATCCCTGAAAATATTTTTGATTGGGATTGGAGCTATGAATTGTATGCTCTTATACAGACTGAAAATAAGTAGCGACACGCACCAGGGCAGCCGGTGCGATCATGCATTTTGCGCAGCTTTGCCCAGCGGGCAGTTGCTGTTAAGAATATTCACTGCTTTATAGTTTGTTATGTGCAAAAATTCAAAATTACGTGTGCCCATTCGTGAAATGTGGGCGTTCATGAGAGCTGCATTCGAATTTGTAAGCTCGCACGTGAAAAGAAAACGTCCTCCAGTCCGGTTTCCGGACTAAAAATTCTTCGTGTAAAATTTCATCATGCCCGTACCTAAGTCGTAAGTGTACATGAGAGGTAAATTTGAAGTTCCAAGGTTGTACATTTAGAGGATGCATCATACTAAA